TACCTAAAAATAAAAAATAAATAGCATCTTTAGAAAAAGATGAGTCACAAACACCAGTAGTGTCTAGCCAAGCCTTGCTTACTGAAGTGGCTCTTTTCAGTGAATCTTCAAACTTCCAAAGTATTTGTGAGGCCATTTATGGTGTGAGCAAGATGCAGGAGCTAGTGGCTAAGAAATTCTGTTCTATCCCATTGGAAGAGAATGTCATAACCCCTTCTGGAAGCTTCAGAATGCCTGCTAGGCCCACATCCCCTTCTAATTATGCCTCATACCTTTACCCTCTGCCTCCCTGGACACAAATGACTAAGGATGCGTACTTGTTCTGGCCAATAGTATGTGGAGTGCCCTGACTCAAAAGATCTGCCCAATACAGACCATATGGAACCACGATTAGTTGAATCAGTCAGGTCCTGTCTCTGGGGAAATTTAAACTGGAAATTTAGGAAGAAGCAGTTAGTAACAGCTGGCTCATTCGCAGTGCCACAGGGAACAGTTGTGCCTTTGTTGGGAAACTCCCTGCCTGGTTTCAGGAATTGTAACTGCCTCCCATAGCTAAGTGAGTGACCTCCAGAATGTGAGCCACAGGACACACAGCTTGTCTCTGGCAGCAAGCGCTGCTTCTGCTTCTTCCCCTGACCGCAAAGCCTGGTCAATGTCCATGGCCGGTACGACCCCTCAGGGAGGGGTGACCTAGGCCAAACATGATCACTTGGGAGGCCATCATGAAAGGACTCAGGGGGGCTGAGACAAAGAGGGAGTGATGGACCCTCCCCCATTGGCTATTGTGACATAGCCCAAGACCCCATTTCTGTCTGGGAGAAGTGCTTCCTGGCTCTAATCCACTTAAGCCTAAAAACCTATGATGGGGAAGACGGTGCAGCCCTGTGCTGGAAAGGGCAGGGTAAATCAGGCATAAGAAAGAATATGTAAAAATCCTGTGAAACCTGCTTTATTTAGAATGGTCTCATTTAAATGATAAGGATCCAGCAAGAAGTTTGTTCCTCAAAGTTTTATGGCTCTGTTAGCTATCTGACCCTGACTGAGAATAAGCCCTCATGGTTCTTTGAATGCTATCTATCGTTTGATCCTTACCTATATTCTTATGCAAATGAACCCAATAAAATCCCCTTGAGGAAGGGGCTCCTGGCCTTTCCCCTTTGAGGGATCAGCCACCTCTCCTCCCCAAGCAGATCTTGTCTTGATAGTTTCACTTTCATCTGTGGTGGACTGAGGGACTTTGCTGGCAAAGTCGCCCCGTATGCCTCCGTAACAGTGACTGCTTCTATAGGACAAGGAAACAGTGCCTGCTAAGTCATGAAGCTGCTGGCAGGTACCAGCATTCCAAAGGAGTTGAATGGCATCCCTTCTCCATGAGGCCTTGAAAATGCATCTGTTCCTATTTTGCTTTCATCAGTTAAGGGGCATTTTTTGTTACTACAACTGGTAACAGCATAAGCCATATGACATTGTAATCTCTGTAAGATATCAAAAGAGTTTAGTCAGTTATACTTCATGCCGTGTAACAAGCACTTAAGATTTAGAGAAGACATCAAAAACCAAAATGTTTACCTGGTCAAGGCAGGTAACATATGTGAGTGAAGCCAGCCAAGTGTAAGAAAAATGAGGAGGATTGCCTGTCCTGTTATAAGCAGCACTTGCTCCCCAACTTTAGTCATAGCTACCATTCAGAAGGACTGACATTCTGAGTTTTTAAATGAGATGATGTATGTCAAGTGCTTAATATACAGCCAGCACATTGTACAAACTCATTAATATTCATTATTATTGCTTTATATCATTTACAGTCATCATTAGCAGTCAACATCTATATAAATAATCTGGAGAAATGAAATTGCTTGGCAAATCCATATTTTCTAATTCCTTAAAATATATTTATCTCACAAATTTTTTGTTCATGCTCTTTAAGAGGTTTTTTTCAGTTTTAATTGGTCTCTTAATCAAATCATGAAAACCCTAAAATTTTCAACATGCTGACTCGTTTACTTTCTGTTAATGGTCGTTTTTTGGATGGGTTGGGTTTTTTTTGGTTTTAGGGAAAAAAATAGCCTCCCCATTTTTCTGTTTTTTTCTAACCTATATTTTCCCTGTGTAATTACCCACATAGATGACTTCAGACATTGCCTATCATACAGAAATGTAGATTGAATATAACGTGATTTTCTCCAAGTTAGCTTAAACCTGTAATCAGAAACTGCCAGTTCTGACCAGCTCTTCCACAAAAAAAAAAAAAAAAAAAAAAAAAAAATCAGTAAATTTTCTTGCCTTTGAAGAATTGGTACAAACGGTGAAGTGTAGCTAAAAAATGTGCAAAGAAACAGCATCTGAAAAAGCAGCATGGTAAAAAAAATACACACATGCAGAGAATTTATACTATAATTTATAGTTCAGGCTGTAGAGTGGTAGAAACTGATTGTTTTGTTTCTTTTAAAAATATGTACATAGTGAGGGGAGCCCATAATTAAATGAAAGTAATCAGGTCAATTGTCTGGATCCTTCTATTTTAACAGCTACTATAAGTTAATCTTGTGAATTCATATTACAAACTCATATACAAAATATTCAAAGCACATCTATGTCTTAAGGTAAATAACACTGTATTGATATCACCTGCCCAAATCCAGTTTCCTGCTTAGGGACAGAGTGAGGTAGGGTGAACAGTATGTGTGTATTTGAGAGCTAAACTGACCCAAGTTCAAATTCTGACATGCCTATCAGATACGTATCTTCACCAAGTTCCTTAACCTCTTGAAAGGAACTCTGTGTTTATTACTATAAGATGGTGACAGTAAAACTTACCTTATAACGTTGATATGAAGATGACATGAAATAACACAGAAAAAGTGCCTCTCTATAATCAATCACATAACAGATACTGAATACGTGTTACTGTCTTGCTTCCATCCCATTTTCACCCAACAGAGTGTGGGAATCAATCAATTTCAAATATATCTCGGAAGATACAAGGAGAGATGACCTGTGTGTCTTTATTTTTTTTTAATTTGTATTTAATTATTTTTTTCAAGTACATTTTTTTGTCTATTTCTCCCATCCCAGCCCCCTCCCCACCCCGTCTCCCCACCTCCCTCCCATTCCCCCCCCCCCCCCAGTCCTCATCCCTGTGTCTTTCATACTTGTTCCTCAAAATCCCTCCCCATTTTTCCCCTTAAATTCCCTTCCCTCCCCTCTCTGGTCGCTGCCCACTTGTTCTCTATTTCAGTGTCTTTGTTTTTATTCTGTTTGCTTATTTGTTTTATTGTTTAGCTTCCTGTCAAAGGTGAGATCATATGGTATTTGTCCTTCAATGCCCGGCCTGTGTGTCTTTAGATGCAATGCTGAAAGTGAAGGATCTTCCCTCTCACTTCTTGAGAAAACCCATGACTGTGCCTCCCCTTCCTCACAAGGATACCTGCCTGGAGGGGCCGGATGAGTTGATTTATTTGCTGAGTCATTTATTTAACCAACACTGTGCCCTAAATGTGTTCTAGGCACTGGAGTTCCAAAAAGTAAATGGCAGACCCTGTCCCCAAAGTTCACATTCCAGGCTGCGGAAGACTCAACTTTAAGTAGCATTTTTATGGAATACCAGTTCCATAGGCTAACAGATTTATTAAGAAAACTGAATATGGGGAAAACTTGAGGGAAAGTGTCTAAAGTTTCTTTACTATGAAGTTTTCTGGAACTAATAATGTGCTTGAGGACATAGAACGCAATGTTTCTATTTAAGCACATAACTTTTTTCAAGGAACATCTCAATGTTTATCAGAAAGTACTTTGGAAAGAACAGACCTATAATATAACTGTGGGAGTTCTCCCCTCCAGCCTCTTCTGCAAGACTTTGAAGGAGGCAGAATGGAAGGCAGGCAGTTCCCTCCCTCCCACCACCACCCCACGCCACTGAGCAGCCGCTGTTTCAGTCCTACGTGTTGGGCTACAGGTCTACAGTAGGACAGCTCTGGGCTTTGGACTCCAGCTAGACTAGAAATTTGACTCTACAGTTTACCTGTGCGGCTTCAAGCAAGTCATGAAAGCTCCCTGATGCTCATTTCCATGTCTAGACAATAGGGACCATAATAACAGCTGCCCCTGGGGCTCTTGTGAGGAATAAATGTAACAATGTATGGGAAGTGCCAGGCCTAGAGTAAAAGTGGAACCCAATGTATAGTCTGCCCCTGCCCCCTTATTTTAATGCATTCTGGAAAGTGGAACCAGTCAGCAATAAGTCCATTCTGCTGCTTTGAAGAGCAAATACATGTGCTCGATTACGCGTACTTCCTCTGTGATTTTAGCTTGCCGTTTTGGACGTCTCTGCACTTCTGTGTTTCAGCCAGAACTGCTGAGACGGGATCTCATCTTGCCCAAATAAGAAATTTGGCTGCTATGTGGGAGAAGATGTTCTTATATTTGTAGGTTAATCAGTTTAGAGTCCTACATTTTTACCCCATCAATTAAATGTTACCTTGCTCTGTCTAAAAATCCATCAAATCCTTCAAACTTCATTCCTGAGACTCTCCTGTCAGTAAAATTTTTAACAAATGAATTTTAATGTTTAACACAACACTTCATAGGCCATGTGAAATGCTGTGTTTCAGAGACAAAATTAAATTTCTTACTGTACACTCATTACTGTAATCCATGTCTGTCTATGGCTAGTTGAAATTTAGTTCTCAGTGAAAAAATAAATCCAAAAGACATAATCATGTGAGTCATAAGTCTTCATATACATTACAATTAAATATTATTGTTCCAGTAATAATTTATATTACATATGTTGTACTATATGACCAAGAATACTCCATTCATTGGGCTTATCAGAGAATGTGCTATTCCACACAAGTGAATTTTCACATAAATGAAGTTTAAAGTTAACCCACTTCCTACTCCACTCACCCCAACTAACTTACAAAGGCGTTCCAGAAGGCAGAGAAGAAAACAGGAATACAAAGAAGGGATCAAGGTCTACATCACAAGTTCAGAGCAGAATGGACAGCCTGACCAGAGATGAAGAGAGCTGGGAGCCACATCCCCACCGGAGGCGGCGACGCCGCTGGAGCCTGACTGCCCCTTCTATCCCCTCTGGGTGCAGACACGGCGAGACTGTGCACTGTGGTCTTCGACAGCAGGTGCAGAGCTGCAGAGGTTTGCAAAAAGAGGCTTTGAAACTAGAGGTATCTTGGATAAGAAATTTTTGTGGCTTTTAGTCTGTAGTCATTGACCTAAAACTAAAAGATTTGGAGGTATTTGATCTCAGGAGTGTTTGGGGCTCAGTGCGACCTTTGACAGCATCTGTAGGCCTTTAGAATGCGTTGAAAAGAGTCTCAGAAGAAGGAGAACAGGAAATTCCTTAGTGGGGTTTGTTCTAGGTTCCAATTTTAAAAGAAAAGGAGTAATTGACTTGGGATGGTGAACACACAGTACAGTGTACAGATGATGTGTTGTACAAATGTGCACCTGAAACCTGCATAATTCCCTTAACCAGTGTCCCTCCCAATAAATTCAAGTCAATTAAATAAATAGGTAGATGATAGATAGACGATAGATAGATAGATAGATAGATAGATAGATAGATAGATAGATAGATAGACAGATGATAGATAGATAATAAAGGAGTTTAAAGAGCCTCAACACTTTGGCCAGCAGAGTTCACCTGTTGTGGCTGACGGCAAGAATGAATGCACAGGCAACAACAATCCTGTGGAGAAAAAGGGGACGGCACAACTACTCTCTCAAGGGGAGAGCGCCTCTGGTAGCCTCGGCCACTCTCTCAACAGGGGAGCATCCCGACCCTTGCCTAGACAGATTTTATTGTTTTCCTCAAGTCTTACATCAGAGAAAGATTTGTTATCTATTACATAGGATATTATTGTTTACATTTTAGGTACAATCAAGGAAACGAAAATAACATGCAGAGGGGAATGGCGATGAGCTGATTAGCTCTGTCTTTGGGAACGTTTATACAGGCTTTGGATATTACCTTGAAGACAGACAATACACATTTGTTGTTTTAGCCCAGGGTGATGGAGTTTTAGCAAGAGCAAGCCATAACAGTCTGTATGCCTTTTCTAGGGCTGATTCCCACGGGAAAACTCAGTTTGAAGGTCTGGCTCCTGCCCACCACTTCGCTTCTGTAGGTTTTCCATACAGAGCTGAGTCACATTTGCCAGGCCAAGACAAACTGGTCCCCTACAAGCACCAGAGCGCTGTTTATCTACCAGAATACTGCTTGTGCCTGACCTAGAAATTGGTAAAAGTAAGGAATTCCAATACATTCCATAATTTTAGAATACAAACATCTGTTTCCTTAACTTAACAATAAAAAAAATGTAAAATCATTGTGCCATGATTTTAATGGCACAATGACCATTACAAACACCCATTCTCTTTAAGGCAGTGAGAAATAGATTCTATAGCAAGTGGCCCTAGGGTGTCTATTCTTCGTTTTTGTTTTGTTTTGCATGTTTATCTTAGTTCTTAAACTCAGCTATTATTTCTGGTGACTATAAGTATTCCTAAATTGAAAACCTCGGCCTTTCCTTTTGGAAAATAAATATGGTAATAGCTGGGAAAACTGTGAGGCAAATCAGTTTCTCTTCTTTTTCTGCATGTAAGTTAACTAAGTTCACTATGTTTGACATTGTGATTATATCACATCCTACTAACTGGATACATTTTTCACTAAATCCCTTAGTATCATTCAACCTCAACCAACTTGATTTTCTTTCACCATCAAGCAATTAGCTCCTTTCTTTTTATAAATGATTCCTTCAACATAAAGCATCTTCTCCCTTGTAACTGTAGGTCTATATTATTTATTTGCTGCCATCCTGGATATAAAACTCATTTTCTACAAGAATGGCCCCATGATTAAGTCTATCTCATTCTAATAACCTCCTTATTTGACACTCCTTTAATATGTATGCTAAATCAATAATAATTTGCCTTAATTGCATGTTTACAATATATTAGGCACTGTTCTAAGGGCTTTGGAGTACTATTTCATTTACTCCCATGTTGAGTCCGTTGTGCTCTTTTACAGATGAAGAAACTAAGGATCAGAAAAAAAGTGACAGAACTTGCCCAAGACTCACAGCTAGAGAATCATGAATCTGTATCTCAACCTGACCAGTCAGACCCCGGAGCCCACATTCTTAGCAACCAAGCAGTTTGTACCCTATCTTCCTTTACATGGTAAGATATTGCATAATAAGGCTCATGTCAGTTCATGTATCAATGCCATGCATGGTTTCTTCAACTAGACTACATATTTTTAGAAAAAGAAGCCTGAGTGTCCCTCTTCCCATCATCAAATATAATATGATAATGGTCTGTTCATAGCAAGCCTTCAATAAGTGCTCTTTAACAAACTCAGCATTTAAGTGACTAGCACAAGACATGTTTCCTGACTTGTTTTCCAACTATCTACATAAGAGGCTTCCTCTGGGCAAGGCAAAAAACCAAATACTATTTCTACTGTAAAATTTACTCTGAGGTGAGTGTGTAGGGTCACTGCATAAAAAGCTGAAATCATTCTGTATTGTCTTGCGGTCAATTCATTCTTCCAAAAATCCTTCTGATGTGGGTTTAAATGGGTATCAACTGGCAGATGATAACAACCCTGAGAAGAAACAAATGAATCACCAACTATTGTGTCCATTACACACATTTTGCCACAAACTCTTGTGTGTAAAAGATCAAAGCCGAATTTGTTTACTGCCAGAATTGCCAGGTATGTGTCTTTAGAACCCGCTATGCAGAGAAAGATATTAGGGGTGGAAAATGAGCTCAACCTGACTCCAATAAAATGTATGAAGTATTCTATGTAAGAAATTACCATGAAATGGAAAACCTTCACATATAAGCCATTTTAACATATATTTTAATGTCTGCCAAAAAATTATATCAAACATGGCAAGAGATTAATTTATATAAAATGTTTTATAATATATTCAGTCAGTGAAAAACAAATACCATATGATCTCACTTACATGTGGAATCTAACGAAGAAAATAAACTGATGAACAAAATGGAAACAGGGGCGTGGACACATGGAACAGACTGACAGCTGTGAGAGGGGAGGGCCTGGATGAGGGGACCAGATGAAAGAAGGTGACAGGATTAGCCAAAGAAAATACATGCATGACCCATAGACACACAACACTGTGCTGATGGCCTGAGGGAAGGGTGGAGGTCAAGGGCTGAGTGGAGGTAGATGAAGTGAGAAAAAATAGGGACATCTGTGACAGTGTAAACAATAAAAATAAAGTTAAATATACATGTATATTTAACTGTATTAACTATATGTATTAACTTTATTAGCTATGTATATTGAACATATTATATATACATGCTCGATAATATATAGAACACACATACATGTGGATATCAATTTCCTTGTGGCTAACAAGCAAAAACATGATAACTTCACAAAAGAGGGAATATAGTTAGTAAATAAATATGTAAAAAAAATATTTAACCTTGATAATGAGCAAAGAAATATCAGTGAAAACACTAACAAAATATTGCATTACATCTATTAAATCAGCTTTATCAATTGGCCTTCTTCTGATGTGACCATACTCTGCCCTGAGTCCCTTGTACTAAGACTTAATCCATGACACTCCAAGAGATTCTCTCCCTAGAACACTAAATACTTATCAATACACTCAATCACTAGCTATTGACTAAGCATCTTGTCAAATCTCATTCTTCCATCAATGATCAGCACGAATCTATTTTCTTAACAACTGACCTGCAAAATTCATCCAACATCAAAACTTTTATAATATTTTTGGATAGTGAAGTTTCCCAGCTTTTCCACTACTAACATTTGGGGCTGGATAAGGTTTCTGGTGGGCAGAGGCCTCTTCTGTGCATTTTATGGTGTTTAACAGCATCTCTTGCCTCTACTTACTAGATGCCTATAGCAAATCCTTCCTCCCTCTTACCCTCTCACCAGCAAACTTGACCACCAAAATTCTACCATCTCCCAAACATTCTTAAATGTTCCCTGAGAGGACAAAATCATCCATGACTGATGGGTACTAGATTACCTACATAATCCCTTTGTAAACTATACAAATGTCTAATCCCTATGTTGTACATCTTAAACTAATATAATATTGTATGCCAACTGTAATTAAAATTTTTAATTAATCATCCCTGACCAAGAATCACTGTTCTGTAGCATTCTTTTTTTAGCAGTTAATCCATGTGGAATTATGCCTTCTGATATTAAATGAGCTCTTTAATTATTGTTGATTTATTGTATGCTTCATTAACTATTTTCTTTACCTTTCTTCTTTGAGTAAATATCTGACAAATCCCTTACAAATAGGTATATTGTGTTATATCCACTGATGGTTAATTCTACCTCTTCTGTCATTGAGTGACTGATTTATTTTGGCGGAGTGCAGAACAGCAAGGACTCTGGAGCCAGATGTCTGCATCTAAATTCTGGTTCCACTATTTGCTGGTACTTCAGGCAATTCACTTCACCTCTCCATAGTTCAGTTTTATCATGTATAGAAAAGGAAAATAGCATTTTCTTCATAAAATATTTGTGAGAATGTAAAAAATGTATATGTAAAACACTAAAACACTGCCTTCCTACAATAAATACTATCCAAATATTACCTATTATATTGAGCATAGAACATTAAAAGATGCAACTTAGTAAAATCGGTAATTTCCACCCCACAGGAATGTTTTTCATGGTTGAAAGGGCATGAAAACCACATCCAAAAAATAAGAAGGTCACATGCAAAATAAAATGTTAAAGGTATGTAACAAGCTAGTTATCACAATAGAAAACAAATGATTTTCAAATGACTGACAAATATTTGAAAATCAGAGAAGGTTAAATCACAGAGGAATGGAATGGTGGAGGAAGGAGTCACAGAGAGGTGAAATTTGAGTAAAATATGAAAGGAAGTTGTGAAGAGATGAGAAAAGAGTCTAGGCAGAGAGAAAGTTTCAACCAGAACCCCAGGAAGAGGAAAGCCATGACACATCCTGGGGAGCTTCCACAAGTCTGGCTGGAGCAGAAGGTTGAAAAGGATATATTGAGCCCTGGCTGGTGTGGCTCACTGGATTGACTGCAGGCCTGAGAACCAAAGGTTTACTGGTTCAATTCCTAATCAGAGCACATGATTGGGTTGTCTGCCAGGTTCCCAGTAGGGGGTGCACAAGAAGCCACCACACACTTATGTCTTCCTCCCTCTCTCCCTCCCTTCCCCTCTGTCTAAAAATAAATACATAAAAATTTTTTTAGAAAAGAATATGTCAAAACAAATCAGAACTCAAAGTCCACGCTTTGTCATGTAGAACTGACATACCCAAGAGCAATCAAAATGACTCCTATACATTTTAGTTAGTTGTCATAGTTGCCATTGGTGGCTGGAATAATTATGGTCAAGACCCACAATCCAATATGAAGCAGGTTTTTAGCAGACGTATTTCTTTATTTCAACAAGAATAATAAAAATTAACTTGTCATCACTGAACATTTTCTTCTTACCAGATAGGGTACTAAACACTTTATATTTATTATATTTAAATTAAATTAATGCTTTCCTATGGCAGACCACATACCACAGGTGAAAATACTATATGAAAATACTATACATAGTGTAGCTGAATAGCTCACCCAATGTCCCATGATCAATGGCACAGAGGGGACTGAAAGAGCTGTGCTCTCAGCTACTATACGTGTAAGAGACCATTATATGTGGCATGGACCTAGAAAGGACCCACGCCCACAGATAGGGGAATCAGGCCTGCATTGTACCTAAACTGCTATGAGACTTGCTTTTGCTAAAGCTCCCTCATCCTGAATTGAGGCAGCAGATATTTACTGCAATGTCCTAAAATCCATGCTAAACCCTCCAAGGATGAGTGTAACCAGTTCAACCACTTTTGCCTTTTCATTTGCAAATATCCGTCTTCTGTGATGTGATTAGCAGCATTGTCTCCTTTGTTTTTTGTAAAAGGTAACCCCCTAAAGCAAATCCATGCATAGTAAATGAGGATGATCCTGTAACATGCCCAGAAACACAATAAAGGTCTGTCACAGAGAGGGCCACGTTTTTTTCTCCCCTTGAGAGAAAAGCTATGCCATCCCTTTTTCTCCACAGGACTCAGTAGTCCGTGTGAATTTCTCGTGTCTCATCCACAATGTGGCAGACCCCATGAGCCAGGGTCTGCATCAATATGAGGTCTTCCACAGGATCTTCTTTAAAACTTTTTCTGTGGCATGTGTCCCCTCATGTGTCTCATATCTCCTGTCATTCTGAGTTTTCTCTTTTTTGCTGTACTTTGGACACAGCATTTTGTTTTGGATTGATACTCTGGTTGTTCTTTATATGGGTACAGATCAATGTAATATAGTTTTCATCAGTTACAATAACTTCTTTAACACCTATAATCACTATTAGAAATTCATTCATGCCCTGGCTGGTGTGGCTCAGTGAATTGAGTGCCGATCTGCAAACCAGAGGGTTGTGGGTTAGATTCGCAGTCTAGGGCACATGTCTGGGTTACAGGCCAGGTCCCCCAGTGGGGAGAGCTCAAGAGGCAACCACACATTGATGTTTCTCTTCTTCTCTTTCTCCCTCCCTTCCCCTCTCTCTAAAAATAAATAAATAAAAATTTTTAAAAAGAAATGCATTCATATAATCATACTAATTTCCAAATTTTTTGTAATTAAAACATTTTTCATAAGATATAATAGGATTATATTTACTAACTTTCCTAGTAGCATAAAACCTAAATAAAAAATGTTGTCGACTAGATGCAAAATGAAACCAAATTCAGTTGATTACAACACTCATTATTACTATATCAATGCACCATGTCTCACATTAAATGAAAGACAAGATTGGGAAGGTGAATTGAAATGTTAATTTGATGGTCTAGTTACAGGGGATGAGATTTACATTAGAGCCTTAGGGATCCTTAAAAAGTTTTGGAGTAGGGCAGTGAAATGCTGAAACCAATATTTAAGATGATGAATTTGGTATGGGTATGCAGGAAATTGTAGGAGAAAGAAACTACAGGTAAACATCTGACAGGTGATGATCCAGGACTGAGTGTATCTAACATTTAAAAAGGTGAAAGCAACCTTATTTATGGATATTGTATATTTGGCTTAAGAGCAAGACAAAACATCTGACTCTACCAAAACATGCTCACAAGCCATAAAAGATATGCACAAACTTCATTTCCCTCTTTAGCAGTCATTAGAAAGCGTAAACCCATGGTTTTAGCACCAACTTCCACGCACAGGAAATGTCTTCCAGTGGGTCCCTGCCCTACCCTCCTTGGAACGTATGACCTAACTGCCAGTCCTCCTCCTCCTGCAGCGGCACACAAACACACACAGTGTATCTTTGTGGCCCCATGTTTCATGTACTTTCTCCCACAAAAAAAAGACAATCATCCCATTCATTCAGCACCCACTGTAGGGCAGCTGCTCCATCTACGTCATCTCACCAGATCCTCAAGACAACCCTAAATGTGTACTAAATGATTGTCCTTCTATTACAGAAGAAGAAACTGGGGTTTAGAGAAATTAGGGGACTTGACCAAGCAACAGGGAGAAAGAAAGAGAGAAGCCAAAAATTGTATACTTTTCATTTCAACAACATTTTGGTGTTTACGAACACCATTTTTTTGCATCCTAAAAATAATTATTTTATCAATGAGAAATAGAGTTTTTTTTTTTCAGGGTCAGCTTCTTGGATAACATTATTTGAAGCTTTTAGGCCAACACCTAGGTATGAAGACACTTCTTCCATAATACCAGCTTCCTGCAAGTTCCCTGTAATTGGTAAGACCCCTACTTCCCTAAGGAGTGTACTGACTCATCCCTTTTTAGGAAACTACTCTTAAATACTTACCTCTCTCACTTCTAAAATCACACCTTTGGAAAGACAAGGAGGGTCACAGAAATAACAAAAGCAGCTGAAGTTCAATCCACATCCACGACACTTTTATCTGCTCATGGAGAAAACCCCCATCCATGTTAACGTTAGCCTTTTAAGCAACTCCAGTGCCTGGAAATGAGTCTATCTAAAGAGTGAACTGAGCGTGTGCCCACTGACTTGATTGGTTCCTGGAGAATGTCTGACTTACGCCCTTCTTCCCCTGCAAAGAGCATGCACCAAAGGTTTACCTGAAGTGATTCTTTCAGAGGGTCCAACTGAAATTTCTTACTAAAGTTTGGCTATCTCTAGTGTAATATCCAGGAAATTCTGGGAGGGTGAGAAATCATAACATGATTCAGCTAATATTTTCATCCTCTTGTTCAAGTCCCAAAAGTTATTTTAGTGTTTTCTTCTAGGCTGTGTGTTTGTTGAGAGAAGGGGGAGTTACTTTCACCACAACAAACCTGAGTGTGGAAACCTTGAGAAGGTTGGCACTAGGTTACTGGCTTTATCTGCAGAATAAAACCTGCACAAAACAGATAATGGTTTATTTTGCACCTATTTCACATGTATTTCCCCCCAGCTTACTGAAATGATTGTCTTCAAAGTTCATGTCCATTATTCCTTCACTGACTTCCCTGCAATCAAGTTCTCTGAATAAATACAGGGGTTGAGTTGCAATTAAAAATAATGAGACTGTACTGGGTCAATGTCCTTGCATGCAGTAAAAAGGTGTGGGCTAATTGCAGGACCAGGGCTTGGGTGTTTTTTTCCCCCATTTTGCTTCACTTTGATTGGTGGGTTGGCACTTTAAATAAAGATTTCAGGTGTACCCTGAATGAGAGATACAGAGCGAGTCCCAGGCACACACAGTCCAGGAAAAAAATTAATCTTCTTTTCTTAGTCCTAACTGGGTTGGCATCACCAGGCCCTGAGAGCACAGTGCAGGCCAGCATTGAAGGTAAAACATGATTTTATGATTTCAATGTGCTTCCTGTAAGTTCTTTCTTCCTATCTCCAGGTAGCTTTTGTACAGAGGCTCTCTCTTCACCAGAAGCTGAATAATAGCTTATTGTAAAGCATTAGCAAGTTGCAGAGAAGATGTGTCTGATATCCTTCCAGTTAAAGGGGAAAAGAAAGTTATCAATGAGCTTTTTTGACTATTTGTGTTGATTAGTGACAGTGTTTAATTTATAAAACTATCAGAAGATGATCAAATCTCTTTGCTACACAGACTTTTGTTCATGTCAGAGTAAAGAGCCTTTTGAACTTGTAAAATAATTTTTAAAGAAACAACATTTTAGAACAAGAAAAACTCAATATTGACAAATATTTTCTACTAACATTATAGGAAATTTAAGTATTAATTCTTAGTTTTAAAACATAAGTTTGGATTATGGAGGTAACCTAAACACAGAATGATATACCCTATCAATCTGCAAATAAAGGTTATGAAATTATTATTGTCTATATTACATTTCCAGTGCATTTCAAAACTTACTCTGGAAGGAAACAAAATATAACCTCCTGTGAATGATACCGAATAGACCAAACTTTCCCGTAGTAGAGGGATTCTTCAATTTCTGTTTTATTTTATGAGATGAAGCAGAGCAGTTAAATAATATGCATAAGAGTTGTTCCTACATATCTATTTAGGTTGTAGCTTTGCAAAAAAGTACTTGCAAATTTTTTAATTGCTTGTCAATTCTTTCCAAAAACTAGTAAATACAAGTCAGTGGTTCAGCAGTGTTTAGTTTTTTATTTTTGCTTTTGTTTTTGTTTTGAACTTCGTTGTTCTGGAAGATCAGAGACTCAATTCACTTGAAGTGTTGTCTTTTAACCCTTCTGAAATAAAAATTCATCTGATTTAGTTCTCCAAACTAACTCTGTTTCAGATCCCACTGTTCAAGATGAAGAACCTGATACTGATCCTGTACCTCCTGGAAATGAGTTCTGCAGTGCCGGTAAGTCAGAGTCTTCTCCAGTGTGTCCTAGAAGAGGCATTGTTGGACACCAAACAGTGCTGAAGGGTATGGGCTGAGAGTCCATGCAGGGACACTTTGGAATTAATCTGGTGGCATAATTCCTACTGAGCCAAAAGTCAGAGCTGCCCAGACATCAGCTTTACCTTCCGAAAGCAATAAGTCAAGCATAAATTTTTCTATTCAGAAAAAGATTTAAAATATTCCAAAGACAATTTCTAAGTCTTCTTCCGTTCATTCAAGGTGGTGAAGGAATTTTAAAAAGGGAGGGGGAGAGGCTTATGGGCACAGACAACAGTATGGTGATTACCACAGAGAAGGGGGGTGGGAATAGTAGAAGAGGGTATGGGGGAATAAGTGGTGAAGAAAACATGACTTAGAGTGGTAAATACATGATAAAATATGCAGACGATGTGTTATAGAATTGTATACTTGGAACCTATGTAACTTTATTAACCAGTGTCATCCCATAAATTCAATTAAAAATCAATTTTAAAAAAAGAGAGAATTGTGCACAATGCTATGGCACCATTTTCTTATCAACTACTTGCTACCATTATGAAATCAAAATGGAGAGAGAAAACATCTCCAAGAAAGTGAAGTACATTTTCTTCATTTTTAAAAGAATAATATTAGCCAAATTCCATTTGAAGCCAGTAATTAACCAGCAAATTTGCTTCATAATGAAGATATTGTGTGACAGAAAGCTGAAGTTTCTTAAGTCAAAACATGCCATGGCAATAGGGCTAATTATATGTTACAGTCACATATCTGGCCCACTCTATCAAATACTGAGATATCATAAGAATTCAATTCTTCTGAACACTGAACTACTGCAATAGACATGTGATTCTGTTTTCATGAGGACTTTATTCAACTATCTGCTGTGATTCAACTTTCATAAGGACTATCTGCTTTTGGCAAATGTTGACCAAGCACCTGCCATGTATCCAGCACTGTGCTGGACATTGAGGCCACGAAGGCAAATGTGGCCTGGTGTCTTGTCTGGGGAGCTCTCAATCCGCCTCAAATGCACTTTAAAATATTTCAGTTCCTCGAGAAAGGTTAGTTATTTGGGTTTCTTAAAGTCAACCATTTTGGAAAAAGAGGATGAAAACTGATTACAAGGATGAATATCTCAATTCAACAAGTAAATCATTTCCATTCTATTGCTCAACATGTACTTTAAATGAAAGAAAAATTGAAGTTGCTGTTCTAGCTTACCTTCGACTGAAACCGACATTGAGGTCAGCCTTCATCACCATAACACCTTGACACTATTGGGGCCTATGCTACTCCACACCAGTAACAGATCCACTCTGGGGAACGAGGCAGTTGCTTAGGGTTGCCAGCTGAGTGCCTGCCAAATCAGATGTTCTTCTCCTTCAACTTCCACACGGGAAGTGTATCCTCTGCCTATTCACATCAACGTAAATACGGTTCTTTAACCTGTGATGTGGAGCAGTTGGAAAGCAAAGCATGCTTTGTACTATAGTTGACTCTGCTGTCCCAGACGTTTTATCTCTGTACTGGCCAACACGAGGAAAGAGGCTCCGCTCCCGCAGTCCCCGCAAGTTCTGAGCAATCTGCACTCTGCCCCACACACACCCACACCACTCTTCCTGTCTACACAGCTAACCTTTCTTCTACTTGGAATATTAACTCATGTTTGTAACTCCTTTCCCTCTTCTCATTTCCAAGACTGAATGATTGGGAGAAATTTGCACCAAGACTCAGAGGGTGGGATTTTAGCTATACAAAAAAAAAGTAGGAGATGAAGGATAAATAACATATGTTCAAGATAATATTCCCAATCTTCTTACTCATCAAGAAAAATAATTTAAATACCTTTAGTGGAGATTACATAAATATGTGTGGTGTGATGAAGGAAAGAAGGCATTAAAACCCCTTGACCCTAGAGACTAAGAATATCCAAATAATCAGAGATCCTCAAAATCCAATTTACTCTATTTCCTACTCTTCCATTCTTCATTTTTTTCCCACTGGCATCTGTGCATATTAACAAGGATTAATTTAAAGTGGAAAATATTTTACATTTAAAAAATCTAGTTCAAATATAGCTACATTTTAACAGCTTTAAAAAAAAACACATTAGTAGAACTTAGAGCTGCAATGATTTTTATTTAAGAAAAATATCTTTGAAATGATCCCCAAAATATAAGCCCAGATCAACTGGCTATGCATAAAGCAATTTTTCACTAAAGATGATGGAGGGTTTATTGGAGCCCTTTGAATAGGAGGCAAGTTAGGTTTTGCACAGACTTTTGCTGAACGCCATGATCACATGCCCCGTTCCATAGACCAGCAACGATTAGGTTTGTCAAACACACAAGAAAATTGACCTCAAGTTGTTCCCTTTGCTTTTCTATATGAGGACATTTAAGAATATAAAGTACTCTTACTTTCTATTTTGTTGTTTTATTTTACATCTTATGTAACTTTCTAAACTAAAACAAAATTTTGCTTTTAGAGCAACATAGCATTAAAATGCAGGCAAATGGTAGATGATTTCTGTAAGAGCAAAATTGTTAAATAGTATGGTAATTCCCCCAAATAATTTAAATTATTCTCTCTGCCAAAAATTTCAAGTTCTTTGGGTAATAAAACAAATGATGTTCTCTCCGTTGTACTTTCTGTTTATTTTTTAATTGTTGTTCAAGTGCAGTCTTCTGCCTTTTACCCCATCCCAGCCCACCTCCTCCCCCCCCACCCTCCCCACCTCCCCTTCGTTTCCACCCCCTCAGCTGTACTTTCTACCAATGGGTAAGGAAGTTTCTCAACAAAGAAAACACAAAATTATTCTGATTTCCATTTAGGTGTTTCCTCAGCAACCTGGGACACCAGGCATGGCTAGTTTGAGCCTAGAGGTATGTATTATCAGAGCATTTCCATTGAATTTTTCCACCTGTGTGTTCCCGATGGGGGAAATTCAGGGGGCTCTTTCTCCGTTTTCCTCGTCGGAAGTCAGTGGCTGTCCTCCTGTGCAATTCTAGAGAAGTGCATGATGTTTATGAGAGCCTTGTTTTATCATTTTTCTTTCATTTTAAATTCTCAAGTGTTTTAGTCCTTAGAATACCATCTGTGTGTGAACCAAAGCAATACTATTATTTAATACCTGATATAAATACATTAATGTAATTACTACATTAATATAATGACTCTAGTAATGCAAACACATTGTTCTGGAGTCACGAATGATTTATATTCAGTTCCTTCTATTTATACTGTATTACATTATCAAGTCCCCATGAAGAAAATTCAACTTGCAGAATTTAGTTATCTGTAAGAACTCTTATAAATAACGCTAACATTGTACCTGCTACGTAACCTGTGGTCGTCTCCTTACATGTCTCATAACTAATATGTACTCTGTTTAGAAAATCCCAGCAAAATGGAACTATTCGACCATATTAATAGAATAGATTGACAATTACAATTAGAAAAATTTTATGAAATTATAAATTTTTCACAAGACTTTATAAAGTTTATTCAGATTATAACAATCTGAGGGCAATCAGTACCTGTATTGGCTAGATGCTTATTTCACCTGCAAGCTGATTTCACTGAGTTTCCAGCTTAAACTCAATTCAAAGCGCCCTAAACCTACTCCCCTTGCATTGAAATTGACTTTCTGTTTAATTGTCTGTATTCTTAACAATCTACCCACATACCATTCTCCCCAATGTCTTTTATATTGTTTATTTTGAGGAATTTTTTGTCTGGGGAGGAGACAGGAGATTGTCTCACTTTGTTTTGTTTGTCTGTTTGTTTTTCAAATTCCTCTTTAGGTTGAATTTAATTTAAAAGGCAAAGTAAGGTAAAGGGGGAGTAAGAGTCAGTGAAGCGATGTTCTCGTGATTGCATTTATATTCCAGATGAATGATCTACTTTCCCATGTTTCAGTGTGATCTCAGTTAAATGATGCTTTGTCTCATAATGAATAATGAAAAGCAACGCACTGCTTTAATGGCAATAATAGTGACAGTAGCAGAACCACGTTCAACAGTTCCACTTTTCAGGCATGATTAGTGTCTACTTCTGTTGTATTCAAGTTGACCCACTCCAAACTGTGTACTAATGATATATATTGAGAAACGAGTTGTGTCATACAGAAAAGGAACATCTATGGTAAACATTAACCCACTCTTTATTTTCTTTATAGACAATGAGACAATTGAGTACCTTGCAGGGATTAAACACGCTTTCTCAGGTAACCTTATTTTCAAATATTTCTCATTGCAAGTAGGAATGGTGGAGATGGGAGTAACATTAGCAGCAGTATTGGAATTTATAAAATAAGTGTGTGAACAGGTGATATCCAAAGCAATGGAAGAAAAAATGAGTAACTGAGATAACCTGAAACAGAAGAAGATTCTGGGTTGGGCTGGCAAGGGAAAATAAAAACAAATCGAATTTTCTTTATTAAAAATTTTTTCTTTGAATTATCAATTTTATTATACAGCCCAAAGTATGAGTTCTTAAAAAGCTAAATCTCAAACAAATTTATGAAAATATTACAGTGTGGCTCAGAATGGACTGTAAGTCTGTTGGAAGATACTGTTTACTTATCCATATTAAATTAACCAGTATCACTTTTATTTTTTTCCTCTACACTTTCTCCGGATCTTCTAGAAAATAAAAACCAAATGTAAGCCGATACTGAAATAGAAGTATATTTCTCTCTCCTTCTATTCCCCACCCCCATGTCTTTAGTATTCAAAATTTGGCCTTGGGAAATCACTCAATTCTTTGTGGATGCATGGTCTCCTCCCACCACATGCCTCCTTCCCATGGATAAGACCAAGGGAACATGAAACACAACAGGTAAGTTATTTGCATCAATATATTTAAAACATCAAGCTTTAGAATCTTCCCCTACTTAATTCTCTAAGTTGTCACATATTGCCCACAGACAGGTAAAAGTAATGAATAAAAAAATTATCCAGGTACCAAGTACATCAAAACTTGTGCTGGGTGAGAAGGGTGAAGGGATTAAGCAAAGAGAAAAAGAAAGAAAGAAAGACTCACGGACACAGACAACACTGTGGTGATGGCCAGAGGAAAAGGGAGGGGAGGTGGTGGACGAAGGTGTCGGGGGGATAAATGGCGACTTCACATGGGGTGGTGAACACACAATATGATATACAGATGATGTATTGTAGAATTGTATACATGAAACCTATATAATTTTATTACCCACTGTCACCCTAGTAAATTTAATTTTAAAAACCTGTCATTGTTTTCAGTACTTCAGAATATTTCAAATAAAATGGTCCAAATTTTTAATCCACTTGAACATTTATTTCAAACAGGAAGATATAGACTCCAAAATATGAGACCTATGTTAAAGACATCAGCAATAACTAGATAAACTATCCTCAAAACAGAAACAAGCTGAATTCTGGTCAATTCCCGTTTTAATCAAGATTCCCCAAATAATTATTAAAGGGCACATTTAAAATGATGCCAAAGTCAGGATGAAAACATCACAGCCTTACAGCAATCAATAAATACATTAGTTAGCTTTAACCATTATTTATTAGGTTCCTAATACATCAACCACATTGTAGATTGGGAGTGAGAGTGAAAATATTTAAGAATGGCTCCAGGCACATGGAATTTCATATATGACTGGAAAGTAAGAAAAAACAATATAGTACAAATTGCTAAGTTGTGAGGTATAAGTAATGAATGAGGAATAAGGAATGAGAGGCACAGTTTAGAGATGGACAATGCTTGTGAGATCCATGTCACTTTGAGGAGTGGCGATCTCTTCAAACTAAAAATAACAGGGAGCCATTCACCAGAGCTAATTTTAAAGAAGATCAACAATGTACGGTTGTTTTACTAGGAACTGTTAAACCCAGGTGCCCCCTCAACAGGCAGCACTGCCCACCCAACCACACTCAGTGGGGCAGTGATTTGTGGTAATGTCAACTGTTTCTCCTCCTGACTGTCTCCCAAATGGGCTCTGTGGTGCAGAAATTCCATAGGTATTTTATTTAATTATTCTCTCTTCTTTCATTAACTCAAAAAGTATACTAAATATCTATCATGTGCCAGGCACTTGTTAGGAACTATGTTCAGTCCTGGGGCTATAAAGATAAATAAGACAAATTTCTCCCTGTTGACTAGGGACAAAGATTGATAATAAATCATTGCAATCCCATGAGAAAATAGTCAAATAGAGATGCACAGGGACAGCTGTGAAAACCCAGAGGAGGAAATGACCCGTTCTACAAAGCATTCACGTAGCTTCCTATCTTCATGAGCAGACTCTTGAAATACAAAGTTCCCTGAGCTCTTTTGTTTTAAAAAGTCTGGACACCACAGTTCAGCGAGCCATCACTTTCTGACACTCCTTTCAAATTTCTCTGCAGTATGAATATTCTTTGCCTGTGCATCCCCCACCTCTCCCATCGCAGCCATCCCTACATCCTCAACTGCCAGGACAAAAACCGTTCCTCCAGCCCACTGTTGTAACAGCCATCCAGAACACAGCCCAGAAGGGAGTACCTCAGCCTCCAGTTTACCAGGGACAGCCACCCTTGCACCAAGAAGAGGGGCCAATGATTCAACAACAGGTGGCACCATCAGATAAGCCACCAAAGACTGAGGTAAGTCCTTCCTCTGAGGTCCTTTCAGGACTACCCACTAACATAAAGAAAGAAAACGAATGTGCAGAGCACATTTAAATACTCAGAGCTCTAAGGCATAATGTATGAAAATGCAAATATGTTTTTAATCAGTTGACTTATCTGGGAGTAGAACATAAATATCCATTCCTGTACTTTGCCACCAGGAATAGGGGATGAATCCTGAAAGATCCAGTGTCTACAATTCGGTTTCTTAAGTGCAAAAAAAGGAAAGTTTTCAGAGAAAATAGGGAAGCCCAGAGAAGTCCAAGCTTCCCATCACCTGGGTCTTTTTCACTATTGGGAGGACAGAGAAAAGTGATTGATCCCTCAACACTGCAAGGAATATTTTGCACTGTTATTTCTCTACCTGCTAGTAGAGAAGGCAACCATGTAAAAATATCTTGCAATAATGTAGAGAAAAGAATCATGGACAGAAAAGAAAGGTACCATACATCTAGTATGCTGTAGACATTGACATTGCCCTTATCATGCTGACTGTAGTCCTATTAAAATAGATTTTATTATCCTTTTTAAAAAGGAGAAGATAGACTTTGAGAGTCTATAAAATTTTCCCAGTATCACACAAAAATTAAGTGGCAGCGTCAGGATTCAAACCAACCTGGTGTGATCTGATTCCAAAACTCATTCTTTCTAGTGTGCAAGACAAAGCAAACCCAGCACAGGGATGCGGCACCTCCCTGCCCGTGCACTTGCGCCATGTCAGAAACAGGCAATGGTAATTTCTTCGTTTGTGGCCCCCAAGACAAGTTAAAGGAAAAGTCAGGAAACTTATCTGGGATTGTTTCATCACATCTCTAAATAAGAGTACGTTTGATTTACTTTTTCTATTTTGATAGTTTAGTAATTTTTTAATATTTATCTGTGATGCAGCTACCAGGAATGGATTTTGCTGGCCCACAAGACCCATCAGTAAGTACAGATCTCAGTGAAACTTTCTTGGGAAAAATAGCTCATTCTTTAAAAAAAGAGTAAAAAATTTAAATTCCCTCACATGATATGAGTAAGAAGTATAATGAGTTCCTTTGTTTTCTTAAATATTAAATACTTCTTTGTCTTATGAATACTTCTGAACATGTGTTTCATGCAACTCTTAGAAAGGGCGGTAATGGAAGGTTTGCCTATGTTGTAGCAAATATGAATTATTTGTTCTGTTTTCTGCCCCTTAAAGATTTTCACAATAGCCCGTCTGATATCTCAGGGACCAATTCCACAAGATAAACCATCTCCAGTAAGTGTTTTTTGTAATTCACTTAAAAGTTTTTCCCTTGGAAAATGCATTTTGTGTTGATTATTGTATTTATATTTAGCTTTTTCCAGGAATGTTTTACATGTCCTATGGTGCAAATCAATTGGTAAGTCTGTATTCTTTGACAAGTGTCATTTTTAATGAAATGTTATCTTAAGAGCTAAAGTTATAAAATTCAATCCTCACACAATAGATTCCACATTCTCTGAATGCCTAAGTTAGCCACTGAAATGGCAAGGAGACCCTTCCTATTTGAATAATTCTGGCCACACACACACACACACACACACACACAAAGCATTAAAGAAAAGGTAAATTTGCTGTCTGGATTATCCAAATTGGCTACATTTATTAAATAATACTTATCTGACCACTTTACTCTACCTCTGGACACAGCCGTAATGCTAAGATTTAAATTTTAAGGAGAAATTACATGATCTTTAACTGCAGTAGGAGTCAGCTGGTTCCTAACACAATACAGTGTTTCCTTTTGAACAGAATGCTCCTACCAGACTTGGTATCATGAGCTCAGAAGAAATGATGGTGAGTAATATCTTCAACCTTTTCTTAAAATAGCGTCCAGGGGGAACAGTCGCAGATGACTGGCTGCAAGAGCTACTGGCTATGAATGTAGCCAAATACACAGCATGGGGCTCAGATTGTTCCACTCCAAAACCAAAAGCTTGATGCTGAAGCATCATGCAAAGATTCATCATGCTTCCCACATGTGTATTTCTGAGTGATAACCTCCCTTGGAAGGTTAGGGTTTTGCCCTACTTCCTAACTATGAGGAGAGAAGAAATCTCTCTTGAAAAGTCATCATTGAACAGCAAATGCTTCAAACCAAGAGAGACACCCTTGGCTCATACAAAGCTCCCGTTCCTTCTCAGACCATTTAACCCCTCGAAACAAATCCAGCAGCATCACAAATCATTTGGACTCAAAACTGAGAGATCAAAAAAGAAAAAGAAATTAACTAAGTTTAAATTTTCATTATTATGTAATTGAAAGTGCATTAAAAAGTACATTTCAACTACAATTATATAGTTGAAAGTACCATAAAAAAGTACATTAACATTGAAAGTTAATTGAAGTATATTCTTATTCCGTTATTATTATCTCTGTATTTTACAAATTTAAAATGCAAAGTCCATAGACACACAATTTGACTTTTTGCCTTGGAAAGTTCATGTTACATCTGTTTAGAGCACAAGCAAAACAAAACCATACTGCATTAACAAACTGTTAGCAACTGCAGATCTTAGCAAATTAACAAAGACAGCCCCATGCTATCACTGAAAGAAAGTTTGCATCTCGACATTGAGCACTTCCTGTGAGCTAAATAAGGGTCCGGTTCTCAAACAATTTGCAGTTTAATCGATGGAAGAGATCAGTGCTAGGGCAGCTATCAGTCTATCAGAAGTGTAAAAGAGGGAAAGAAGAGGCCCAATCAGCAGAGCCTTGAGCCTCGCAAGTTTAAAATGCCGCCTCTGTAGGAGGTGATGCCAAAAGGTAAGAGCAGAGAGACGGGAGGTGAGAGAAAACAGTATGGTATCGATATAACACCAGCACAACCGGTTTGAAATTTCAAGTAAGTGTTAATTATCATCTTATAATTTTAATTAATTGATTTATATTCTGCCTCATATTTGAAAGCCGTTGCTATAGCTTACGAGAGACACACAATAAGTAAATAAGTGTAACCAAGAAACCAAAGATGTAAGTTTAAATGAATCAAGGTTGTGAAAATGAGAATACAGATATGCAAGTTACGAAGCCCGGAGCCATTCCTGTGAAGAGCCCAAGATTTTGGGTTTCAAAATTTGAGGCAGCAAAGGGGAACAAAAAAAGAAATGTGTTCAGTTTGAGAATTCGAACTGCTTAAAGGAAGAAAGTATCGCAGTTCCTCCAGAGAAATCAAGCTTTTTTTTCAATACCTATTTTTTAAAGAAGGAAAAGAAACAGTCTTATATGAGTTTTCATTCATTTACAGGACACTAAGAAATGATATTGACGCAATCCTCAAAATGTCCCTCGATAAGCTCAGCAATGTATACGTTTTTGTTTTAAGATGTAGTATTGCCCATTTTAGTTGCTTATTATTTTCTTAAAATGGAATTCAAATTACTTTTTGTCTATGGCGTTGGTTCTGCCCCACTTGTTTCTTTCCTATCCTTTCAGCCAGGCATGGCAAAAGACCTCCGGCTCCCTTTCAGCGAAGTGGCCTCCCCCACCAGGAAAGTGCAGAATTCTCTCCCTTGTGTTTCAAAGCCAGCTTAGTAAGAAATGTGCTTACACAAAGCTGTCAGCCAGCTCCCTGTTCGTTATCAGTTTTGTATGATTTCTCTGTAAATCCGACTGGGTATAATTGCATGGTATAGAATTGTATGTCATAACAGCGTCTTTGGTAAATGTTTTTTTCCAGGGAGGCAGAGGAGGTCCCATGGCCTACGGAGCCATGTTCCCAGGATTTGGAGGCATGAGGCCCAGCCTTGGAGGGATGCCTCCCCACCCAGGCATGGGCGGGGACTTTACCCTGGAATTTGACACCCCAATGGCTGCAACCAAAGGCCCAGAGAAGGGAGAAGGAGTTGTGCAAGGTACTCCTGTGCCACCGGAGGCCAATCCAGTCAATCCAGAAAACCCAGCTCTGCTTCCAGAAGCAGAAATTCCTGGTGCCTTTGGAGGGCTTCTCGCTCTCCCGAAGGACAATATTCCCAACCTGACTGGAGACCCTGCCGAGCATAACGAGGGATCCCCCAGGGTTACCCCAGCAGCTGCTGACCCACTGGTGACCCCTGGGTTAGCTGATGTTTATGAGCCCTACAGTGTTGATATGACTACACCCTTGGGCGAAACGACCATGGATACGGATACCACAGTGACCCCAGACACCGAGCAAACATCGATGCCAGGAAACAAGGCCCAGCAGCCCGATATTGTGCAAAATGTGTGGCATCTCCAAGAGCCCTGAGAGCCTTGAGATGTTAGCTGCATTCTGTAGGCACAGCTCCCGGGCTTTGTCCCCACAGCCTATCTTCTTCCCAAAACACTCATCACCCTTCTGCAGCAAAGGCGTTCCAAGTGCTCAGCATATATTAATAAACTCAAGTGGCAGAAATAGTGCAGGTTCCCTTCTTGCTTTCATTTTCTTATTGAAATAAAACCTGTTGACTCTGTGACATAGAAATACTATTAATGTTTGCATTTGAAAATCCCAGTTTCTTAGCTGGCATGGGCATCGCGGCATTTTCTCTTACTAGTGTAATACTGTTAGATCCAGAAAATGTGACACCGCCTTGGATATTTTTCTCTCAGCAAAGGCACATAGTCTCAGAATTATAAGCTATTTCATTCAAATGTTATTAAATGGAGATAGGTGGACAATCTGACTGGTGTTACTGGGTTTGGTATGTTGGATTTTAAATTCTCATCTGTAGAGTATTTTATTTAATCTAGTAAAAACATCTAGCCTATTTTAAATAAAGAATTTTTCTCACTGAAAATATCAGGCATTATATGTTTATTATTTGCATATATTTAAATGGTTAGGAAAAGCAACTCATCCCCCACCTTTGCTACTCTTTAACTCACTTTATTTTATCCATTCATTCTCTCACATAAAGATTGTTGAGCATCTATCAATGTCATGGGCACTAAACTAGGCAACCCGGACATAGTCCCTTTCCTCACAACTTACAAGTAGAGAGACAACCACAATAACAATAAAAACAGACACTCTGGGCTGAGCTGAAGTCCACTGTATATAGTATCTCACAACAACACTGCAAAATAGATATTTCCAAACCTACCGCCCATGTGAAAAGTGCTATGAAAAGGCCAAATGCTATGTGGGAATTAGCTCTTCCCTATGGAATACAATGAGGGAAAATGGAACCCAGGAAATTATTATTACTTGCCACCAAACTAAGTATGTACCAGTGAAGGCTATTTGACTAAATTAAGAGATTCCAAGGCCAGGTTTGCTCGCCCCCAAGAAGAAGCCCCCTGCTCCATTCTCTCCACTTCCTCCCAAGTTGTCCAGTCCGCGTCTTAGACTCCACAGAACTGAGACTCCCTTCATCCCCTGCGAAGATCTGGGGTGCAGGGAAAGAGCCCTGAGAGGGCTCCTGATTGGGCTACTTCAGGAGCCTTACTTAGCAGGAGCAAGCAGGCACCACCTGTTGTCTCCCCCTCCCAGGCAGAGCTCTGCTCACCCCGCTCAGTGGCTAGAGCCTAAAGAGATGTGCAGGAGTTTAACATTTAATTTGCATCCCATAGTGTCCCTGGCAAAGGTGTGAGGCAGGAGAACAACTTCCGATGAGAGCCCACTGAGACCCATCTTAGCAATCCACACACCCTCTTCACAAACGGTATGCAAACAGGGATACAGACAGAGCTGGGTTTGAACTCTGACATCACATCTAACCACGTATGAGTCTGTGACACACTCTCCTCCTGTGTTTCCATATTTATGGTGGAGCTACAACCCGACCCACCTCACAAGGTCATTGCGAGACACAAATGAGATAAAGTACACAAATAAAATTGCTGAATTGTAGTAGTTTCTTTTTTTCCTACTGATCCTTTTCGTAAAGACAACCTAGCAAAATAGCTGCAGTAACAATGGAAGGATGAAATTCCTCTCTCTCCCAGATGAATGAGGATGAAATTGCTCTCTCCCTGATGAATGAGTGCTTTTCTATTCACACACCACGCACTGCCCTTCTGACCCTTCTTGGCAATTTGGAACATGCGTTTGTGGGGTCACGTATGCTGCTTTTGCGGATGAACGTTGTCATATCAAGGGCTCAAAGTTGGCCTCTAAAACTGGCAGGCCAGGCACTTGATAGTATTAATAGATCGACTCCGACAAGGGGGGGATACCAAGTTGTTGTGTGGTGGCGTCCACTTTCTCGAGGTGCCCCCCAGTGCCATGACACGTGAGAGTGAATAAATATGGCCAAGACGTGTTGGATCTGTTTGGGGATGGAGGCGTGGGCTGTGGCCAGTTTCTCTGGGGAGAAAGAGGCCAGCAAGGGCCAGTTTCTCTGAGGAGAAAAAGGCCTTGAGCACCTTTCTCCATAGCCTTTTATTGGGTTGTAATACCAGGAATACAGGCAGCAAGGATCAAACAGTAGATAACATTACAAAGAGGTCTGAGGGCTTACTATGAGTCAGTGTTTGTCAGGAAAAGAGTTGCAGAAACTTTGGGAGACAAACTTATTTCCTCTCGGACCCTTATCATATGAATGAAAGCAATCTTAGCAGAGCAGATTTCACAGGTTTATCAGCAAGTCTTTGTGATGCCAGATTTTCCCCCAGGGCAAGCTCTAGCCAGGCAAGGGGCTGCACCTCTCCCCATCAAGTATTCAGGCATAAGAGGATTAGAGCCAGGAAGCACTTCTCCCAGAGTACATGGGGACTCAGGCTTTGACAAAGCTGGGGGGCGAGAGTCCATTGCTCTCTGTTGCAGCCCCCCAGTCCTTCCATGAAGGCCTCCCAAGTGATCGAGTCTGGCTTAGGTTGCCCCCCCCTCCGCCGCTGTGAGGGGTCTTACCCGTCATTGACTTCCAACCAAGTTCTGGGGGCAGGGAGAGGAACTGAGGCAGCTTTTGCTACCCGAGACAGGCTTTGTTTCCTGTGGCTGGCATTCCAAAGGTCATCTCTCGCCCTTAGCCACAAGGGGTAGAGATACAATTCCTAAACTCAGGCAGAGCGGTCTACTACAGACAAGGGGGGATACCATGTTGTTGAACCCCTGAATAACCTCTGTTCCTGCCACCATACACTTTAAACACAGACCCACAGAGCAAACACCAAAGTGGCCAGGGGAAGAGGCTGAATGTCACCCAAGAAGTAAGGAAGATCTTAATAACTGAGAATTTCCTCCACCGGGACTTCCCTCTACGAGGCATTTACATGAGAAACGAATATCTTCATACTGTATCCCATTCCAAGAGGTCTATGCAAATAGCCTACCTAGTGGACCTCCTTATTACTAATACATCAGTTTTATTTTTTCAAAGTCCCTGACCAGCTAACCAGTCTGGTAGTGTCCCCGAGTAAGTGTCAGTCGTCTGTATCTCAGGCCATGTCTCCTTCTAGACAGTATAGACAACCAGACGCGTCATTTAAATTCTGCCCACTGAGTGGGGCTATGGCACATTAACTGTTCACTTCCAGCTGATACCAGAATACCAAACAGAAATCCATGAACCAGGCACACACTCTTCTCTCTCCATTACTTGATCATAGATAGCACAGCCATATAATTGATTCTCCAAACTGGGACACTTTTGCTAATGAAAAGTAGTATTGTGAATGATGAATGAATGTTGAACAACAGGTAGTAAACCACTAATACCCAGACAAAACCCAGTTATCTGATTATTCAAGTCATAGGGAATTCCCCATGAAGCCAAATTTGCAGAATGAGGGAGAAGCCTCAAAGATATAAAAAGGGAATACATTAAAGTCTGAACCACTAGTTTGTGCAATTTGCTTGAGCCTTCTAGACTGAGGTCATGCCCTTCATTTTAACTTAAAATGGAACGCTGCTGTTTACATTCAATTTTATGGCTCAGTGGATTATCTACCACCTACTTCAAGATGGGTAACTCAGACAGGATACTCACTTGACATCCCATAGTCAGGCAGGTTGTCTCTATCAAGGTTCAGTGACAAGGCAAAAACTATTTTGCTTCTCACACACGCACACAAAAAAAAACCCTTAAGGTTCCGTGGTGTTATTCTGTCAGGGCTTTCCAGAGGTCTCATACAGCCACAGATAGTTCCAATATATTTCAGTCCCTGTGTCTTAATGCCCAAGTGACAGGGACGTGTATACTACAGTATAAACCCCTCTCATACCCTAAGTCCTCTCAAAACTGTCAGCCTTTCAAGTTATATAGTATGGAGTATACAAGCGGGGAAACAAAAAAACTGAAATTATTTTCTGGAGGGCAGGCCCCCTGTAGTACATGTTTCCCCTGCTAGGAGAGTGTTCTAGAAACCTACCTGTATCAGTGTACCAGCTGGCATTGTTGTGAGAGGCTGAATTAAGCTTTGGTGAATTTTTTTAAGACTCAAGCATTTGCACATTTTATGATGGATGATTTACAGGTGCATCTGCCCACACTATGCTGAGTGTTCAGCAGTTTTTGACCATAAGCAGAATGCCCCTGATACCCCACCCACCCTACTCACCCAATCTTGCCCCAGTGACTTTTTTTTGTTTCCCTGGATGAAAAAAAATTCCCAAAGGAAAACATTTGCCAATAAGGAAGAGGTGAAACAAAAAATGGCAGAAATACTAAAAGGAATCAAAACTGACAAACTCAAAAATTATTTTGGACAGTGAAAAAAAATCTTAATGGTGTATTACATCAAATGGAGAATACTTTTAAGGTAACTGAAGTTTAAACATGTAAGAATAAATACACATTTTTTTATAAATAAACTCTGGGTTTTGGGGTCCCTTCCCTTGTATGTTGCCTTTAAACAGAAAGAAGTGTAAATAGCACTGTGGTTGTCTCTTGTGCAGTGCTGTGAGCGGCAGCAACCTGCCTTTCCCTTTCACCATCCTATTGTGCCCCATTCTACTAGGGCCCCGGAAGTTCACAGCACCATTTATCTTCCACCCTCCGGCTTGCTGTTCCATGCTAATCAAAACCCATTGCATTCTTCCTTCACTGTAGTGGACTGGTGTGGTGTCCTGTAGAAAGTGAAAATGATCAAGGATCCCTAGAACTGTATTATAAAAATTGCAGGAAAGGTGACAGAGTCCTGGGACAAGATGGTTTAAGCTTGTATTGGCCTTGATTTTTCTTACCAGTTGGAATAGAAAAAAAAAAAAGCGTCTGCCAGATCAATAACCACATGCTTGGTGCCATGGGTTATACTGATTTGCTCCAAACTTACCACATCTCAAACAGCTACAACTGCCATCACCATCTTACCAAGTTTGCAGTAATCCACTGCAATTCCTCATCACCCATCT